TGTGTGTGTTGCGCGGGTGTTGTGCGGGTGTATGCACGGGTGTTGCAGCGAGCGTGCGTGCCCCCCGGCTGCCCTGTGTGTGTCGGGGCCGCCCGCCTGCCGCGGGTGTGCGTGTGCTCGGCCTGCTGTTTCCCCGCACGCGCTGCGCACACGGTGTTGTGCGGTGGTGCCCGCGCAGGACCCCCGGTGCGCTGTGCACCGGGGGTGGGGTGCGAGCCCCGCTGCATTGCACTGAATGTGGGGTGCAAGCCCCGCTGCATTGCACTGAATGTGGGGTGCGAGCCCTGCTGCATTGCACGCTGTGTGTGATTGTGCACAAATACCCCGCTGCATTGCACGCTGTGGCTGTTTATGCCCCCACTGCATTGCACAGCGTGTTTGTGCACACTCTCCCCAGCGTGTCGCACTGCCTGTGGTCGGTTGTACCCCCCGGCTTTGTGCTGTGGGTGTGTGTACCCCCGCTGCGGGTGTCTGCACAACCTCTGTACCCCGCGCCGGGACAGCCCATCTGCAGGGCGCTGGGGCTCCTCGCTGGGGCTCCTCGGGGCGCAGGGTGAAGCTGCTGGCCTGGGCCCTGGTGTGTGGCAGGGAACGGCATCCGCAGCCGTTATGCCGCGTGCCGGCGGCCCGCAGCCCCCTTCCCGCCCCATGGCGTGGCTCCGGCAGCGTCGCGGTGGCACCTGAGCCGGCACTGTGACGGCGAAGCCCAAACACCCGGCGAGCGCCGCGGCCGCCTGTCCCCAGCCCGGAGATGTCCCAGGTGCCACCAGCCCTGGACTTTGGCCCTTTCCTGCGTTGTGGCTGGAAACGTCACGGCCGGAACCCGCCGCCCCGTTCCTGGAGCCTCCTCGCAGCCTCCTCGCAACCTGCGCTCCCTCCTGCGCGGTGACTCAGGACCTGCCCTCGCTCCGTCCCACCCAGGACGGGCCCTGCGTGAATCGCCGCTCTGCAATGTGCCTGTTGTAACAGCCGCCCTTCGCGCTCCTCTTTTATTACCCTCCTCCTTGCCAAACCGCCCGGGCCGGCGGCGCGGCGGGCGCAGGCGGCGTGCGGGGCCGCGGTCCCGCTCCGGAGCCAGCCCGTCCCGCGGGAGCCGGGAAAGGAGCCGCTTCCTCCTGGTGCTGTCCGTAAGGCCCTGCAGGCTCCGCGTTACTCATGGCGGGGCATGGAAAGCCCCTGGGCCTCCCCGCTGACGGGATCCTCTTTCCTCCCGCTTTCTGCTCCGAGCGCCCGTGCCTGGCCGAGGTGCCGCTGCCGGCGTTCCCGCCTGGCAAGCCCAGACCCGGCAGCGCGGAGCTGGGCACGAGAGACCGGGAGGCGTCGTGTTTCCATCGGCGGCTGCTCCTGGCTGTGTTGGGCCCTCTCCAGCGCCGCGCGCGGCGAGGTGCTGGCGAGCTCGCCCTAGCACCTCGGCAGCCGGGATCGCCTTTTCTCCAAGCCCCAAACACTCCGGAGCCCTTCGGAGAAGCCGGAGCTGCATCCTCGTGCCGGAGCGCCGGCGGCCATGGGAGCCGGGCTGCGCGTGGGGCCCTGCGCCTGCATCCCTGATTAGGGATGCAGATTGCGCCACTTTTTGTCGCGGACACAAAGGCCGGGAGGGAGCGTGCGCGGCGCCGAGGAGCCTCGGGCACACAAAGGCCGCGGCGGCCACGGGCCTCCTGCGAGCAGTGCCTGACCACACTGCCCGCAAAGGGGGTTTTCTGCCCCAAAAAGGCTTCGGGTGCCGGCGGGGTGTCGGGGGACCGGAGGCGCGCGCGGGAGCCGGCTCGCGGATGCTCCCAGGGCTCTTCCTGCCGTCCTTTGTGCGGAGCTGCCGTTCCCGGGCGGCTTCCTGCCGGGTTTATATATAGCTGTCAGGCCGGCCTCGCCGCCGCGCCGGCAGCCGAGGCCTCGCGCCGGGATCCCGGCGTGCCGGGCCCGCCACTGCGCCTCCCCCCGTGCCGCGCGGGATGCCCGCTGTCCCCGGAGGTCACCGGCAGCACCGGGCGCTCGCCGCGGCCCCGGCTAAAATTAGACGCTTATCAGCGCTCCGGAGTGACGCGGCCCGGCAGGTTCCTGTTTATTGCGAGAGCTCCGACCGGGGCTGCGTTTCGGCGCTTTGTCCCTGCCGACAGGGACCCGGTCGCCTCCTCAGCGCTGCGGTGGGCCGGGAGCAGCTCTGCTGCTCGGTGCAGGGGGTTTGGGAGCGGGGCTGCTCGCGCCCCGCGGGAGATGCTCGGAGGCTCTGGCCCGTGAGCAATGGGGTGTCCTCCCTCCCATGCAGCACCAGCCCTGCTGGTGGCTGCTCCTGCTTCAGGACATCCCCAGATCCAGAATGGGTTGGATTTCAGCCCTGGGCTGAAACCTGCTCCATCCCCACGCAGGGATGGATATCCCGCTCCTTCCCATCTCATCTGCGGTGTCCCATCCCTTGTCCGGGGCTGCCTGCTGCCCCGTGGGGTGGAGCGCGGGGCCGTGGGTTGTGTTTGAGCCTGTCTGATGGTGCCCTTGTCCCTGTGTCCTTCTGCAGGCAGGCGGCCGCCCAGCGCCCGCCGGCGGGAGCCAGCGCTCTCCCAGCCCCTTTCCACCATGTTCAACCTCATGAAGAAGGACAAAGAGAAGGATGGGACCAGGAAGGAGAAGAAGGAAAAGAAGGAGAAGAAGGAGCGGATGTCGGCGGCCGAGCTCAAGAGCCTGGAGGAGATGAGCATGCGCCGGGGTTTCTTCAACCTCAACCGGGCCTCCAAGCGGGAGTCCAGGACGCGCCTGGAGATCTCCAACCCCATCCCCATCAAGGTGGCCAGCGGCTCCGACCTGCACCTCACGGACATTGACTCCGACAGCAACCGGGGCAGCGTCATCCTGGACTCGGGGCACCTGAGCACGGCCAGCTCCAGCGACGACCTCAAGGTGGACGACGGCAACTTCAAGGGCTCAGTGCTGCAGCGCGCGGCCAAGTTCGGCTCGCTGGCCAAGCAGAACTCGCAGATGATCGTCAAGCGCTTCTCCTTCTCGCAGAAGAGCCGGGATGAGAGCGCCTCGGAGACCTCGACGCCCTCCGAGCACTCGGCAGCGCCCTCTCCGCAGGTGGAGGTGCGCGCGCTGGAGACGCAGCTCGCCGCGTCCCCGGGCCGCCCGCGGGCGCCCTCGGCCGCCTCGCTGCGCGCCCGGGTGCCGGAGCTCGTGGGCAAGCGCTTCCCGGCGGAGCTGCGGCTGCCGCCCGTGGTGCCGCCGCAGCCGCCCGCGCCACGGCAGCTGGAGCTGCAGCGGCGCCACACGGGCGACTTCGGCTTCTCGCTGCGCCGCACCACCATGCTGGACCGCGGCGCCGACGGGCACGTGTACCGGCGCGTGGTGCACTTCGCCGAGCCCGGCGCCGGCACCAAGGACCTGGCGCTGGGGCTGGTGCCGGGCGACCGGCTCGTGGAGATCAACGGGCGGAATGTGGAGAGCAAGACGCGGGACGAGATCGTGGAGATGATCCGGCAGTCGGGGGAGACGGTGCAGCTGAAGGTGCAGCCCATCCTGGAGCTCAGCGAGCTGAGCCGCTGCTGGCTGCGGGGCGGCGAGGGCGCACGCCGCGACGTGAGTACCGCCATGGTGGGGACACGGGGATGTGGGGACACATACGGTGCTTGCTCTGGCCCCAGCTTCCCGGGCCCTGTGTGCTCCTGTGTGGCACAGGGAACCCTTCCCTGTGTGTTAACACTAGGCTTGGGAGCAGCCTTGGAGTGATTGGGGTGCAGGGGGGGTATTGGTGCCGGCCGCCGCTCAGGACCCGCCGCTTTTTTGCGCCCCAAAGTGCTCAGATTTGCTCTTTGTGCTGCCCAAGGGGCTCCTGGAGCACCCGGCTCCACTGCGGCTTCGGGAGCGAGCGTCAATCTGTCCTGAGAGCCCAGGACGCCCTGCAGGGATGTGCCTCTGCTGGACAGCAGGCTGGTGGGCAGGGACGCAGGGGAGCTGCCCCGCACCAGCCCATTCCCAATGCCACAGTCCCACCTTGGGAACGGCAGGGGGACCAGCAGGATGGCACCTGCCTGCTGGGGACACGGAGCAGGCAAGGGTTTGCTGCAGGGTGCAGGCGGCAGCGCCGTGGCAAGGTGACCCGCGCGTGCCACCAACCCCCTGCGCCCTCGTGGGACCCGTTTCCCTGCAAAACCGCCCCGTTCCGAGCCGCGAGGAGCCGGGAGGGATCTCCATTGAAAGGCAGCCGGTGCCAGGGCCGTGGCGGCCGCTCCGGGGTGGAGCCTGTGGCGCAGCCGGAGCCGCGCGGCGGTTGCTTTCCGGCAGCTCCTCCTGGGAGGCGGCGCAGGCGCCGGCGCAGCCCAGCCGCTCCCGTGGGATGAGCCACCAGCCACAGGCCTCGGCGCAAGGCCGGAGGGGACGCGCAGGGTTATCTGCGGCCCGGGGGGGTGTCCACTCCCATCGTCTCCGGCCTCCTCCTTTGGGCACAGGCCGCGTTCCCAGGCCTTGAGCGTGGGGGCACTGCCCGGAGCAGGGCGCCTCCGGCCACACTGGGGGCCGGCCGGCATTCCCAGCCGCGCTCCAGGAATGCTTCTGCTCCTCATTTAAATAAAAATGATCCCTTCTTGAACAGGAAATTATAGGCATAGTTTGGGCTGCAGCTCTGGGAGCGCCTCGGCGGCCGGGGCTGGCGAGGCCGCGGGGCTGGCTGTGCTCCACGCTCCTATTTATTTATTTGCCGTTGACATTCCTCTGGTGCAGGCCGGGCATGCGCCGTGCGGCACTGGCAGCGCACAAATATTCCAGAAACATGCCCGAGCCGCTGGCAAACCGCGAGCCCTGGGCGCCCGTGTCCCCGGCGGTGCCCGGCCCCAGGGTGGCGTGTCCGGGTGCCAACGCGGGATGCCGGGACCCAGTGGATGCCGCTGTGTGGCCACATGTGCCCCGGGCACCGCCGGAGCCCGCTGGTGTGGGAGCGGGTGACGGATGGCGCCGAGCGCCGCGTGCCGATCGATCCCTTGCTGCGCCGCTCTCTGCCCCGAGGGTGGGCAGTGCAGGGGCACAAGCCCCGTGTTTTGGGGTGCGATGGGTGGTGGCCCTTGCAATAGAGCCACCCTGGCAGCGGGTGCTGCAGCCACCCCCGGGGACGTGCGGGTCTTCTGTGTCGCGTTCGCTCGGCTCCCGCTCCCTTCACAGGCCAGTTCCTGTTGCTAGAGGACACGGACGTGACCTTTCTGCTGGTGACGCCAGCGCTGCTGGGGACACCGGCGTCACCCGGCCTCCCTCGGCGGCCTCCCGCGGAGGGCACCCACCCAGCCCTGCGCCCTGCGGGGTTTGGCCTCCCCGTGCCGCGGGGCGTTGCGGGGACCTGTGGTCGCACCGCCGTGGCTGCTGCATCCCCCCCCTTCCTGGGTGGTTCCGGGCAGGTCTCGGGTGGCCAGGACGCTGCTGGCACCTTCTCCAGGGCGACGCTGTGCGCTGCCAGGAGCTTTGCACCCAAAGCAGCTCCGGTGCCCCCGGTGCGGGCGCCCCCACCACCCCGCCAGCCCCGGGACTGGCTCTGCACCCCTCTCCGTGCCACCCTGCGCACAGGCCGGGCTCCAGCGGGGACACGGGGGCCACGCAGCTCCGTCCACGCCGGAGCCGCTTCCCTTCCCTTCGGGAGCGCGGCGGCACCGCCGGCTCTTCCTCGCGCGCCGCCGGCCCCACATCACTTCCTGCGGCGGCGGCGAGGCCGGCCCGGGGGCCGCGCACATTCCTCCGCTATTTTTAGGGTGGCCGTATCAGCGCAGCTGTCCCCGCGCGCGCCGGGGGCGGAGGGGACGGGGCAGCGCGGGGCCACTCGCTCCGCTCCGCGCTCTCCCCGGCAGGAAGGCGGCCGCGCGCGGCGCTCCGCGGCGCTCCGGCTGCCCACGGCCGCGGTAAGGCGGGAATCGTGCCCGGAGCCACGGCGCTCGGGGCTGTGGGGACGGGGGCTGTGCTGGCGCTCGCCCCCCCACCCGGGTTTGGTGGCCCTGGCTGCCGGGGGCCGCTCTGTGGCCACGTGTGGGAGCCTGGAAAGGCCGGGGATGGGAAAGCCGGTGGGGTTGGGGGAAGCATGAGGTGAAGTGAGGGGTCTGGGGGGGCTCATGTCCCATGGGTGGCTCCCAAGTGGGTGCTGGCCGCCAGCCCCGGCGCCCCGTCAGCCGCCCGGAATAGCCCCCCGGAGGGCCGGAGCGTGCCAGGGAGAGCAGGGCCCCGAGGAAAAAATATCCCGGGCCCCACCCCGGTGAGAGGCTGGAGCGGGGGCTCGGGGGGATGGTCGCGGAGCCGCTGCCCATTAGCGGCTCTTAGAGGAGTGAGTTTTGTCCGGTCTCAGCCTGGGTTGGGCACTCTCTTCCCCCTCGTCTCCTTTGGGGCTCCAGGGTTTCTGGTGAGCCCGGCCGGTGCCTGGAGGCGCCTGCGGCTCTTGGCAGCCCTCTGTGTCCGGCACGTCCGCGGCGTCGGAGAATGGGGCATTGTCGGAGGCCGGGCCCCGCTCACCTCCTGCTCTCTCCCCAGCCAGGGCTCCAGCTCCTCCAGACATCGCCATGGCGTTTTCCTCCCGCTTCGCGTTCTGGGAGCAAAAGGGAAGTCTCGGCCGCGCTTGCCCGGCGGGCGGCACGTGCTGCCCAGGGAGCAGCTCCCAGGGAGGGGGGCAGGCTCCCCCGCAGCAGAACCCGGGGACCCCCGGGCCTGTCCTTGTCCCCTGGGAGCACCGTGGGACCTTCCCCTCCCCACCACCCCTGCATGGCTGTGGCCAGAGCGCCCGTTCCACGCAGGGCTTGTGCCCGTCCTCGTGCGGTGCCCGGGAGCCCCGTGTTGGCTCCGTGGCTCTGCAGGAGCCCCGTGTTGGGTGCAGAGCTCTGCAGGAGCTCGGGAGCCCCACATTGGCCCTGTGATTCTGCCGGAGCCCCGGGAGGACGGGGACAGCTTGCGCTCCGTTGCGAGGCCGCTCGTGCCCTTGGCTCGCTGCCGCCCTGAGCTCAGCTGTCCGGCCCCGCAGCAGCAGGGGCAGGCAGCCAGCCCCCCCGGGGGGGCGGTGCGGTTTTATTTCCCCGCTCGGTGACCAGCTGCAAACACGGCCCCTCCTGCGGGCGCTGCCGCGGGGGCCTGCTCGCCTTCCCGGCCCCGTCCTCGTGCGGGCCGCGGGTTTGGGCCGCCAACCTGCTGCAGAAGCCACCGGGGTTCCCTCGGGAGCCCCCGTCACAGCCGCCCCTCATCCTCTGACACCCACTATTTTGGCTAAGAAAGCTGCAGCAGCGGGGCGCCGCTGCCCCCGGGGGATTCTCCAGTGGCTGCTTGTAGGGCTGTGCAGCGCTGAGGACAGCTGGGGCTGCAGGGCCGAGCCGTGCGGGGACGTGGCGGGGGCTGAACGGTGCCCCTCTTGCTTGTGTGACCCCCAGGTTAAGGACGAGGACAAATCCTTAGCTGTGAAAAGACCCGTGAAGGAGGACGGGGCTGTAAGTGTCGCTGTGCCGGGAGGCGCAGGCCGGGGGGTGTGCGGGGATGGGGCAGGTCCTGTTTGGCTCCCGGCGCTGCCCGGGAGCCGCATTCCCGCTGCAGGAAGGCGGCCGCCCTGACTCGCCGGCCCTGCGGCACCGGGAGTCCCCACGGTCGCCCACGGGTGCTCGCGGATAGGGCTGTCCCCGCGTGGCCGCCTGTAACCCGCCGCTGTGTTTGTGGCTGTAGTCAGAGAGTGCGACTGCAGCGAAAGATGCGGCACAAGCGCCGCGGAGCCCCGAGCCGCCGAAGAGCCCGGAGCCGCCGGCGGCGAGCGGGAAGAGCCCGGAGCCGGTGCTGAACGGCGACAGCCCCGTGGCCAATGGCCCCGAGGGCGTCGTGGCGGGTGCCGAGGCGCCGGCCGACGACGGGCAGGGCCTGTCCCGCCGCAGGGTGGTGCGGGTGGTCCGCAAGGTGGTCCGCAAAGTCCTGCCGGGCGAGGACGCCGGCGGCGCCAGGGAGCCCCCCAGAGACGCCAAGTCTCCTGAGCCGGCGGCGCCTCCCAAAAAGGAGGAGAAGGTCCCGTCCAGCAGCGTGGCCCCCGGCAAGCCAGAGCCCAAGGATGAGATCTCGGCGGGGCTCAAAAGCCTCATGGCGAAGGGCAAAACCAAAGAGCACCGGCCACGGTCCCGGCTAGGTGACAGGAGGGAGGAGAAGTCACCTGAGGTGGCGGGTGGCCAAGGGGCTGAGAAGTCGGGTCAAGCGCCCGCCCCACCAGGTGCCAAAGTGGCACCGGAGCCGCCAGCACAGCCGCCCCAAGGCAAAGCGGAGCCGGCAAAGCCGCCCGCGCCGAAACCCACCGCCCTGGAGAGGCACAAGGTACCGCAGCGTGTGTGCATGGTGCCCGCACATGGCACGGGGTGTGCGCATTCCCCGCGCGGAGCACGGTGTGAGCGCGGGCGCCTAACGGCCGGCATGGTGTGCGGTGCTTGGGGGGCGCGCGGCGCGCCGGGGCACCAGGCGGGGGTCCCTGTGGTGGCCGCCCCGTCATGCCATCCCTTCCCTCCTGGCCCCGCGGCGAAGAAGCAGCAGCCGCCGGCCGAGAAGCGAGCGAGCCCCGCGAAGGCGGCGCCGGGAGCCCCCCAGCAGGTGCGTGGCCGCCCCGCGCGGCCCGCGGGAGCCCCCCGCGCTCTGCGCCGCCGGCCAGCCTTGCGCCCCCGCTGCGTCCCCCGTCGTCCCCCCGCCAGCGCCGCGGCGGAGCCGGCGCCGGTGCCATGACGCTGCTTTGCCTCCAGGCTGCAGCCGCCCCCGGGTCCCCGCTGAGCCCGTCGGAGGAGGCGCAGCGCCGGCTGGAGAGGATCTTCGCGCCTGCTGTAATTGGGGGGGTGGCGCTGGGTGCTGCTGCAGGGGAGCAGGGGCTGCAGATGCCGTGGGGCTCGTGGCCACGCTCTGGCCGGGGCTGCCGAGCACTCAGAGGAGCAGGGCTGGGGCACTGCCCCTTCAGCGCCCGCCTGCGTCCCTGTCTGTGGGACACTTCTTTCCCAGCGCCGTCCCTGGGAGCGCAGGCTGGGGCGGTGTGCACGCGGAGCAGTGGGGACCAGGGCCGCATGGCACTGCCGGTGCTGCTGCTGCTCTCTGCCTCTCACCTCTCTCTTCTCCTTTCTCTCCTCCTTGCCTCGCTGCCTCCAGCTGGACCCCGCGGCGCCGGCACCCGGCCAGGTACCGTATCCCCGCGCCCCGGAGCTCCCCGCGCCATCCGTGTGCCGCTGGGCCGGCCTCTGCGCCCGCGCCTCGTGCTGGAGCGTAAGGCTTCCCCCGCGGCCGCGCCGTGCCAGGGTGCGACGCCGGGGCGCCCGCCGCAGCCCTGGCGCCGCTGCAGCCGCCGTGCGGGCCGTGCGCGCCAGCGAGGCGGGATGCAGAGCCCTGGGTGCCCGTGCCAGGAGGGCACTGCGGGGCGCGGAGCAGGGCACGGCGTTTGCGGAGCAGCACCACGCACCGGCACTTTGCAGCCGGGAGGGCAGCGAGCGCTTCGGCAGCTCCGCGGCTCCATTCCCACTGTGCGGATTGGCATCATTGTGCCAAGTCTCACTGCTGGGTACCCCCGGGTTTTGCACCACATCTCCAGCACCCAGGGCAGCACCGGTGCCTGGCACACACTGGGACACGCAGGGGTGGCAATCCCGGGGACGCCCACGCGGCGCAAGGCGCATCGTGCAGCAGGGCAGCACCGTGCCCGCGGAGCCGCGTGTTGCCCCCTCGCTGCCATCCGCCGCCGCCGGCCGCTCTGCTTGCTCTCTGCAGGGGGGAGATAACGCTCTCGCCTTCCCTCCCCACCTCTCGGCCTCGCTAGGGTCAGGCGGACGATGTCCCCGCAGCCCCGCTGGGCCCGCTCCCCGCTGCCGCTCAGGTTTGCCTCCGCTCCGCCCTGCTCGGCGCTGCCCCGGGAGCGCGGTCACGCCGGCCTCGCCGCGGCGCCGATGCCACCGCTGGCGGCGGACGTGTTTCTGTGTCGCCCCAGCCTCGCGGTGCCCGCAGCCGGGGAGGGGATGGGGACGGCCGGACTCGCCGGGTGCCCTGTGCTGACGTCACGTGTCCCGCAGGCCAAGACGGAGGAGCAGATGGCAGCCGAGGAGGCCTGGTACGAGACGGACAAGGTGTGGCTGGTGCACAAGGACGGCTTCTCCCTGGGTGAGTGCCGGGGATGGCCGCGGGGGCTCAGGGCGGCCGCGGGCGAGCGGGGTGCTGCCCTGGGGCGCTCGGTGCCACCCCGCGAGCTCCGTGCCGCCCTCTCAGCCAGCCAGCTACGCACGGACGAGGCCAGCGCGCTGCCCGAGGGCAAGGTCAAGGTGAAGCTGGACCACGACGGGGCCATCCTGGAGGTGGATGAGGACGACGTGGAGAAGGTGGGGCCGTGGCATGGGGAGCTGCGGGCAGCGGGGTGGCCGGTGTTCCCTGCTGACGCCCGCCCGCCTCATCGCCAGGCCAACCCGCCGTCCTGCGACCGCGCCGAGGACCTCGCCGGCCTCGTCTACCTCAACGAGTCGAGCGTGCTGCACACGCTGCGGCAGCGCTACGGTGGCAACCTCACGCACACCTACGCAGGGCCCACCATGGTCATCGTCAACCCGCTGAGCTCCCCGTCCATGTACTCCGAGAAGGTGCTGGGGGCTGCCGGGGGGGCTCTGCGGTGGCGACGGGGAGCGGACGAGCGTGCACAGGGCCTCACGATGCCGCTGCCTGCCCGCAGGTGATGCACATGTTCAAAGGGTGCCGCCGGGAGGACATGTCGCCGCACATCTACGCCGTGGCGCAGGCCGCCTACCGCAGCATGCTCATGAGCCGCCAGGACCAGGCCGTGGTGCTGCTGGGCAGCAGCGGCAGTGGCAAGACCACCAACTGCCAGCACCTGGTGCAGTACCTGGCCACCATCGCCGGCAGCACCGGCAAGGTCTTCTCGGGTGAGTGTGCGCGCGCCCCTTGCTCTGCCCTGGCACCTCCTTGCAGCCTCTGAGCCCCGCACACGCAGCACGAGCTGCTTTTCCATCCAGCTGCTCCGCCAGCGCGGGACACAGCTCATGTGCAGCTCACCCTGCTGCGGCTTAGCCCCCGCTGCACAGCGCCGTGCCCACGGCTTAGCCCCTTGGCACCCTCTGCACGGCCCCGTGCGCCCCACTGCCACGCTTGTGTCCCCGCAGCGGAGAAGTGGCAGGCTCTCTACACCGTCCTCGAGGCTTTTGGCAATAGCAGCACCAGCATGAACGGCAACGCCACGCGCTTCTCCCAGATCATCTCCCTGGACTTCGACCAGGCCGGGCAGGTGGCATCCGCCTCAGTGCAGGTGAGAGCCGGGCGGCAGCAGGAGATTCCCGGCGGCTCGTCGGGATGCGGCACCGCTCCGGAGGGCTCCGAGGGCTCTGCCCGCTGCAGGATCCCAGCCGCCCTCGCAGTTTCCCAGCCATGCGCTAGCCCACGAGCTCACAGGGCTCTGCTGCAACCCTGGCTGCAGCTCAGCAGACACGTTCTTGCTCTCTCGTCTCCATTTGCACCTTCAAGCACACAGCCAGTTGGAGAGCGGAGCTGCAGATTAGGTCCTTCCCTTCCTCAGCTAGCCCTTGTTTCAGGGTATTTCGCTCCAAGCGTCATCCCAGCATAATGATGAATCCTTAATGTCCAGCAGAGCCGCTTGGGGCTCCTGTAGTTCCAGGCACCGCTCACTGGTGCTCGCGCGGGCACCGTTGGGATTAACCCCGCTCCATGGCGAGACGGGAGGTCCCACACCGGGAAGCTGCTGTGGGGACAGGGGTGCTGAGGTGGGCGGCACGGATGAGGCCAGTGCTGGTGTGCGGGGGACTGCTGGCAGCCTGGTCCCCTGGGAACGCTTCCCAATGTCCCCAACCTCCCCCAGACGCTGCTGCTCGAGAAACTCCGCGTCGCCCGGCGCCCGGCCAACGAAGCCACCTTCAACGTCTTCTACTACCTGCTGGCCTGCTCCGATAACGCCCTGCGGTGAGCGTGGCCACGGCTTGGGCACCGGGTGGCCCCTGGCTGGGCCTTTGGCGTTACCCTTCTGCGGATGCCAGGGGTGGCTCTGCCACGTGGGACTGTTAAACGGGGCTAATCTCAACGTTCACGCCTGCAGGACCGAGCTGCACTTCAACCACCTGGCCGAGAACAACGTCTTTGGCATCGTGCCGCTCTCCAAGGTCACTGGCTGCTGCGCCGTGGGACTGCGGGGCGGCTGAGCTGCGGGGCCTGGGACACGGTGTCATGGAGCCCGGGGTTTTTGGGGGTGTCCTGAGTCTTGCTGCTGCTGCTGGGTGGGAAAAGGCACCGGGAAAGTCCCAGGGAGGTGGCCTTGTTCCCCTGGTCAAGGGGACCTCTGTGGACGTGTCCCCAGCTCGTTGGGTCACGCTTCCCCTGTGGGGTGCAGGGTCTCGGGTCCACGCGGTGCCGTGGCCCCCGTGCCAGTCGTGCCCCTTCCCTCTCTGCAGCCAGAGGAGAAGCAGAAGGCGACGCAGCAGTTCAACAAGCTCCAGGCTGCCATGAAGGTGATGGGCATCTCCAGCGACGAGCAGAAAGCCTTCTGGCTTGTCCTGGGGGCCATCTACCACCTGGGGGCTGCCGGAGCCACCAAAGGTAAGGGAGCCTCCGGAGCTGGCATTAATAAACCCAGACTGAGCTCTCCAGGCTGCCTGGCGCCCAGGGACCGCGACACCTCTGCGTGCTGGGGGATGCTGTGAATGTCCCCCGGGGACAGCCAGACCCTTTGGGGTTGCATTAACCCCAGCAGCAGCCCTTGGGGTGCTCCGTGTCCCCCGGCTTTGTCGCCTGGATCGGGGCAGCCGTGCTGGATGGCAGTGAGCACCTTCACCACCCACGCGTGGCCAGGGCTCCCAGGGGGAGCCTATGGGGGTTGTGGTGGGCACAGCAGGGTGTAACAGCTCTGCCCTGCCCTTGCCTCCCTGCAGAGCTGCTGGCGGATGGAGCCGGTAATTGCGGTGCACGCGGCTCCGCTCCGGGTGCTGCTGGCGGTGGCGGGGCTGGAATGGGGGTTCAGGGCGCTTTCCCCAGCACGTGGGGACCAAGCGTTGCAGGGGGCTGCCCCAGCCCTGTCTGTCGTCTTGGCACCCAGGGCTGTGCAGGGCAGGGCCGGGATGGGGCACGGGGAGCAGCAGACTCGGCTTTGCAGGGCTTGGGGGCCTTGGCGACCGCTCTGCTCCCCAAGGGTCCTGGTGGTCCCCCGAGCTGCGGGAGCCTGGCTTGCTGCACGGCCTGGAGATGGGGCACTTGGAGGTCCGGGCTGCACCGAGCGCTGCAAGGGGGTTTGCAGCCCTGGTGGGGCGAGATGGGGCAGAGCAGAGGGAGACCCCCGTAACGCTGCATTTCGGAGGGGATGCCGTGGCCGGGGGGCTGCGAGGCGCAACGCTCGCCCGCGGGGCGCTTCGAGGCACTAGAGGGCAGCAGGGCCCTGCTGCAGCGAGTGCCACGGGGCTGCGTCCCGCTCCTCCAGAGCATCCCGGCTCCTGCTCCTCCAGAGCATCCCGGCTCCTGCTCTGGGGGAGAGCATCCCAGGTCCCACTCTTCCAGAGCACCCCACCTTCTGCTCTTCCAGAGCATCCCAGGTCCTGCTCCACAGGGAGAGCAGCCCAGGCCTTAAGCCGGGTGCCTTCTCTGCTTCTCCCTGGGAACTGGGGATGCCCAGGGTCAGCCCGGACACTCCAGGCTCTTTCCTTGGGCGCTTACAAACTGCACCAGGCTCCCTGGGGCTCCCCAGCATCGTGCCAGCCCCGACGGTGCAGCCAGTTGCTCGCAGGGTGCATAGGAGGGAGTCCTCTGCCTGGCTCTGGGCCGGGTACCAGCGTCGTGGTGCGGCGATGCCGCCGGCTCCGGCTGTGCCGGGGAAGGCGCCGGGCTCGGCGTGCGCGCGGTCTGGCGCGCTCTCGGCCAAAGGGTGTCCCCGCGCCGCGTGTCGCGCTGCCGCGTGCTGTTGTTTCTAACCCCTGTCTCTGTTCGCATGGTGCATGCTGCCCCTTTGCAAAGCAGACGCCGACGAAGGTAAAGTCCTGCTCTCCGCGCGTGTCTCTGGATCCCCTGTCCCGTCTGCCTCCCTGCTGCCGTGTCCCCATGTGTCCCCATTAACCCACTCCCGACTCGCCTGCCCTGTCCCCAGTGCCCCGGTGCCTGTGCCCGGCTGCTGTGCTGTGTCCTGTGGGCAGCTCTCATTGGGGTCCTTGCACCGGCGGGTCCCCATGACCAGCACTGTCGTGCAGGGTCCTTCCCTGGCCCTGATCTGGGCCCTGTTCGTCTGCTCCGGCCGTGCCACAGGAGTGGAAAGGTGATCCTGTATCCCTAGCTCACGGCATGTCCGACGTTAGCCTTGCGGAGACACAAAACCCTCCGCACCCCAGTGCCGGATGCGCGGTCCTGGTGCCCCAGCGCTTGGCATCCTGGTGCTGATGTGCAAACCCCTGGGCTCCCGCTGCCCTAGATGTGCTTGGCGTCCCTGCCATCAGGGCGCCCTTAACGTGCCACCCTCTGCTCCCACCCTTCTCTGGGGGAGAAGCTGGGAGCATCCCAGGTCGGGCAGGACAGACCCCATATCCCACAGGATAACCCGCCATGGCCGGCGCTGATTCCGCCTCTCTCCGCAGCCGGGAGGAAGCAGTTTGCGCGGCACGAGTGGGCCCAGAAAGCCGCCTACCTGCTGGGCTGCAGCCTGGAGGAGCTCTCCTCCTCCATCTTCAAGCACCAGCCCAAGGGCAGCCTGCAGAGATCCACCTCCTTCCGCCAGGGCCCCGAGGACACGGCCATGGGTGACGGCTCAGGTACGGCCCGGCGCTGGAGAGGGGCAGCCCGAGGAGTCGGCGGGCGAGCGTTGGCCACCATGGGGCTGTGGTTCTTGGGGAAACACCTTGTCCCAGGGGGAAACACATTGTCCCAGGGGCAAACACGGCGCTGGGTGCTGGGGCTCACGCAGATCTGCCTCGTCCAGGTCCCAAGCTCTCGGCGCTGGAGTGCCTGGAGGGCATGGCCGCGGGCCTGTACTCGGAGCTCTTCACCCTGCTCATCTCGCTGCTCAACAGGTAGGACACCAGGGCCGGCGGCGGGGCTGGGGGGTGCCCTGCGGCGCCCGCCCAGCCCCGCTCTGCCCCGGTGCTGCGCAGGGCCCTCAAGTCGAGCCAGCACTCGCTGTGCTCCGTGACCGTGGTGGACACCCCTGGGGCGCAGAACCCGGCGCTGGCGGGGCAGAGCCGCGGGGCCACCTTCGAGGAGCTGTGCCACAACTACGCGCAGGAGCGCCTGCAGCTGCTCTTCCACCAGCGCACCTGCGCCCAGGAGCTCGAGCGCTACAAGGAGGTAGCGGGGAGGCCGTGGCGCGCGGGCACCTCTTCTCCTCTCCCCTCCTCTCCTTCCTCTCTGCTCTGCTGCTGCCCCCCTAGAGTCCTCGTGCCCCCCGCTGATTCCTCTACTGGCGGTCGCATCTGGACCGGGTGCAACCCGATCAGCTCCTTGCAGCAGGGCTTCCCGTGGGGTTTCCCAGCAGCGGCGACGCCTTCGCGGCAGCGCAGGGCAGCTCTGCTTGCAAACGTGCCGATGGGAGAGGTGCCAATGACGCCAGAGTGGGTGGCAGGGAGGGTATTGCTGCTGTGCACGTGTGCCCGCTGCTCCCAGTCTGTCCCAGCACTCCAGGGACCTCAGGGCTGCCGGGGACCTGTGTGCCATTCCCAGGACCTGGCAGGGAGCAATGGGACATGGGTGGTGGCGGAGTGACCACACACCTTGTGCCATAGCTGGGAAACCCCTGCCTAGATCCGATTGTGACTAACGCACTGACCGGCCCGCTCGGGTCCCTAACGATGATCTCTAGTGACACCGGCACTAACGGCTCCTCTGTCCGTCCTCTCTAGGAAAACATAGAGCTTGCACTGGCTGACACAGAGCCCACCACCCCGGGCTCTGTAGCCACTGTAGACCAGCCCTCACACCAGGCTCTGGTAAGCACCCGGCGCTCCCGGCGGCGCTTCCCGCGCCGCTCGCAGGCCCCGCTTTGCGGCTCTTTGCATGTTTGCACCACGCTGCTCGCTCCCGTTACTGCTAACAAGGAGGCGCCTCTGGCTCCGCATCGCGGAGGGTGAGGCCAGGTCCTTACGAGGTGTTTCAGCCCGACTCGGCTCCCCGAGGCCTCCCGGCAGCATCCCCGTGGGCAGAAACCTGCTCCCAGAGCAGTAATTACCTCCTCCATTAGCTCCCAGGTGATAAAGGACGGGCAACGGCAGGGCTGCGAGCGGCTGTTGCCACTTATCATTGTAATGGAGCTGCCTGCTCCCGATTCGGCTCTCGCCACGATCCATTACGGCAGTTTATTGAACATTAGGCATCACAGTAGCATCGTCTGGGCCTCTTTCCTGTCCTTTTAGCAGTAATTATGGGAAGGCAAGGGGCTTCCCTAAATGCCTGGCAAAGCATGGGGAGCACCACGACCAGCGCGCGCACGGCAGCATCCCTGGCACGAGGCATCCGTAGGCGCCTGGAGCTGCCGTGCTCTGCATGACACCAACGCGCTCTCCTGATCCCTGGGGGGTTCGTCCCCCTTCGGAGGCCGAGCGCAGCGTTTTGCACGCCAGCAAGCGCCCCGCGGCCCCGTGTCTCCGGAGCAGCGGCTGGCTTGCCCGCTGCCGCTTTGCCGCGCTGCTCCCGGTGCCCGGGTGTGCCCGGGGAGACGTGCCGGTGCGAGCGCGGTGCCGCCCGCCCGCAGGTGCGCTCGCTGGCCCGCACGGACGAGGCGCGCGGGCTGCTGTGGCTGCTGGAGGAGGAGGCGCTGCAGCCCGGCGGCTCCGAGGACACCTTGCTGGAGCGGCTCTTCTCCTACTACGGCCCCCAGGAGGGCAGCAAGAAAGGTGAGGGGTGGGTCCCAGCTCCATGGGACGCCCCGTGTGGCACCAGGGGCTGGCGGAGCCCCGGCCGGCGTGGGCCGTGCCCAGCGGTGCTGTGTATCCCGCAGGACACGACCCGCTGCTCCCCAGCGACAAACCCCGGCACTTCTTCCTGGGCCACAGCGCGGGCACCAACTGGGTGGAATACGATGCCACGGGCTGGCTGCACCACGTCAAGCACAACCCGGCCGCCCAGAACGCCTCCGTGCTGCTGCAGGAGTCGCAGAAGTGAGCAGGGCGCGGGGGTCCGCGCGTGGCTTCGGTTTTCGCCCCGCGGGGTGACGTCCCCGCCGCGTCCCGCAGGAAGGTCATCAGCAGCCTGTTCGCGGGCCGCGCCGGCTCGGCGCTGGTGCTCTCGGGCTCCGTGGCCGGGCTGGAGGGCGGCTCGCAGCTGGCCCTGCGCCGCGCCACCAGCATGCGCAAGACCTTCACCACCGGCGTGGCTGCCGTCAAGAAGAAGTCGCTGTGCATCCAGGTCAAGCTGCAAGTGGTGAGTGGGGCTACTGGGTCCTGGAGCCCAACAGGGACAGGAACAGGGAGGATGCTTGGTGGGGACAGAGGGCAGTCCCTGTCCCAGGCCCTTGCTTTGGGTGCTTTCAAGCTTGCTGTGATGCCACGCTCGCTTCCTGAGCTTTGGAAAGGGAGAGGGGACATGGCCAGGGCTCTAGTGGGGACAGCAGCACAGGGGGCACACGCTGCAGGGGTGCAGCGGGGTGTCCTGCCCCGGTGTCCCTGCTGTCCCCCTGCATCGTCTCTCCCCTCCCCGCAGGACGCCCTCATCGACAGCATCAAGAAGGCCAAGATGCACTTCGTGCACTGCTTCCTGCCCAAGGCGGAGGGGCCCGCGGGGGATGCGCGGGGGCTGCCGGCGCGGCGCGTGAGCGGCAGCGAGCTGGACCTGCCCGCCGAGCACTGCGAGGCCGGCCTCATGCAGCTCGACGTGCCGCTGCTGCGCGCCCAGCTCCGCGGCTCCCGCCTGCTCGACGCCCTGCGCATGTACCGCCAAGGTGAGCCCCGCGGGGGCCTTTTCCCAGCGTCCCCCCCGGGAAACGCATCCTGCACAGCCGGAGGCCGGTGCTGCCGCTGCGAGCACCGTCACTGCAAACCCTGGGCTGGTGCCAGCCGGCCCCGGCTGCCCCTGCTTTCCCCCCGCCGGGTGTTATCAGATCGCAGGGGACAGACATGGCCTTACTTGGGTGTCTGCGCTGGGGCCGCCCGGCTCCTGGCAGCTCTCCCTGCTGGCAGCCGGTCCCTGTCCCGCAGCGGCACTCGCGTCGCGCTGCGCACAGCGTTTATCGATACGAGCGTCTCCGCCGAGCCAAGGTTTATCGCCCTGGCGCTGAGCTGCTCTTGCTCCGAAGGGAAATCGATGCCGGGCGCGCACCTCCCGCATCGATCGCCGCCGCCACTGGCTGCGGCAGGGTTAGCGTCCCCGTCAGTACCCTGGGATTAATTAAGACGTGGAGGGGCGGCACCGCCGCTCTAACGCTGAAGCTAATTGCAGTGGAGATGGCTCCATAGCGGGAGCTGTGGGTGTCACGCACAGGGATGCTCCGTGTTGTCCCTGAGGTGGGAAGCTGGCTGCTTTCCCTCGGGATCCGGCCAATACTGCTGGACGCAGAGGCCAACGGGAGCCTCCTGCAGCTCTGCTGGGATGGCACGGGATGCTCGCTGCTGGCTGCAGGACCAGCCCTGTCCCCTTGTCCCGCCGGGGGGCTGCGTGCGTGGTGGAGCGGCCCCCATGTCCCCGGCTGCCGCACCGCCCGGCTCCCCTTGTGCCCGCAGGGTACCCCGACCACATGGTGTTTGCGGAGTTCAGGCGGCGCTTCGACGTGCTGGCCCCTCACCTCACCAAGAAGCACGGCCGCAACTACATCGTGGTGGACGAGAAGCGGGTAGGGGCGGCGGCGCCGGGCGCAGCGGTGCTCGCGGCTCCCGCGCGGGTGCCCCGGGCCGCCTCGGAGCCGGCCCTGCCCATGCGTCTCCTGCCTCGCAGGCGGTGGAAGAGCTGCTGGAGTCGCTGGACTTGGAGAAGAGCAGCTACCACATGGGCTTGAGCCGGGTAAGGAGCTCCCTGCGCCCGGGGATGTGCCCTGCCCGATGCCAGGCGCCGCGCAGCGCCGCGCGGCACAAGGGCGGCTGTGTTGGCTCCCGCCTACGGCATTCCTTGTGCCCCGGGGAATACAAGGCGGGTGTTCAACCCCGCTGGGAGCGGGGCAGCCCCAGCCCGCCCCGGAGCAGCACGTGGCACCATCCAGAGCAGGCAAGGGTGAGGACGGAGCCACCCCAGGGGGACAAGAGCTGCATCCAGCTTTTTGGGATGCAGGGATTGGGATGCAAGGAACGGCCATTTCACGGCTACGAGATGTTCCCGCCATGCCCCCACTCCGCACGGAGCATCCGCAACGCTGCCCCTCGCACGGGCATCCCTGGGGGTGGCGGTCCCCGCGGATGAGCGCGGGGCTGCCTCCGCCTCACGCCGCCGTGCCCCTCGCCCCGCAGGTGTTTTTCCGGGCAGGGTGCCTGGCCAGGCTGGAGGAGCAGCGGGACGAGCAGACGAGCAAGAACATCACGCTGTTCCAGGCGGCGTGCAGGGGCTTCCTGGCGCGGCAGCTCTTCAAGAAGAGGAAGGTTCGTAGCGCCTCTCCCCTCGCCGCTCCGCAATTTCGCCTAAAATGGGCAGCGCGGCTTTTCTGCCGCCGCCGCCGCCGGGGCCAGCGCCTCCCCCTCCCGCCCTGCGCCGCAGCCGCGGGGCCCCGCTCAGCCGAGGTGGGCGCCGGCCCCGGGGCAGGAGGGCCTGGGGGGGCGGCCGGGCACACGGGACACCACCGCGCCGGCCGCCGCGTTGCATCAGGACGAGGCAGCCGTGTCAGCGCCCGCTTTTATTATTAAAGAGCGCGCGAAGCGGGCGCCTTGTGTTGCAGCAAGATTAGCTCTCGCAGCCGCGGCGGGCCGGGGTGCAGCAGATAATCGAGCGGCAACGCAAATTCTCGCAATTAGTGCGATTTCTAGTGGGGTGAGCCGAGGGGGGCGCGGCGGGGGGCTGTGCTCGCCGCTCTGACCACCCCCGTGCCCGCAGATCCAGGACCTGGCCATCCGCTGCGTGCAGAAGAACATCAAGAAGAACAAGGGGGTGAAGGGCTGGCCCTGGTGGAAGCTCTTCACCACGGTGCGGCCCCTCATCGAGGTGCAGCTCACCGAGGACCAGATCCGCGGCAAGGACGTGGGTATCTCGGCGGCGCGGGGCGGCGGTGCTCGTGAATTTGCAAGGCAGGGGGTCATTAGCATTGCGGGAGCTGCGTTACGAGACGGGGAGAGTGGAAATGGACCCGCATGGCGAGAGGCAGCAACCGGACACTCGTGTCCCGGCGGTGCGGGGAGCCGGGCTCGGCTTTCAACCCGCTCCAGAGGCACCGGACACAGGCGGTGCGGGATCCTCCGCGGTGCCCCGGGGAGGGCAGCGGCGCTGCAAGCTGGTGGGCACCGCAGCCCCGCGCTGGTTGGTGCCACCCGGGCATCCCTGCGGGTGCCCGCGGCACCGGGGAAGGGACATGTTTTAGTGCCGGCGGGGACCCGCGTCGGGAGCACGGCACGGAGCCGTGCAGCGCGCGGGGCTGCCCGACATTTCGACACCATTTATGGGGTTGGAGCCGGCGTGCCGGAGCGCGGAGCCGGCCCGGGAAAGTCCCGGCCCAGCTCTTTGCAGAGGGGGAGCTGCGGCTGCCGGCGCCTCCCGGCCCCGCGGAGCCCCCACCCTGCCCCGGCGGCGCCGGAGGGGTGCAGAGACCTGCCAAACTCGTGCCTGCCAAGCCCTTGGCGGGCGGCCCCCTCGCTCAGCGCCTGCTCTGTTGCAGGAAGAGATCCAGCAGCTCAAGGGCAAGCTCGAGAAGGTGGAGAGGGAGCGCAACGAGCTCCGGCTGCACAGCGACCGCCTGGAGAGCAGGGTAGGTGCCGGCCGGGCCCCCAGCGCCGGGCCCCTCGGGGACCCTGCCCCATGTCCGCCTCCCACCCCAGATCACGGAGCTGACGTCGGAGCTGACGGACGAGCGGAACACGGGCGAGTCGGCCTCGCAGCTGCTGGACGCCGAGACGGCCGAGAGGCTGCGGGCTGAGAAGGAGATGAAGGACCTGCAGGTAGGGGCGCCCCTCTGGGGTAGGGGCGGCCGCGCAGGGCTCGGGGGGCTCATGGGGGCCCGTCCTCGCCCTCCCCAGGCCAAGTACGATGCGCTGAAGAAGCAGATGGAGTCCATGGAGATGGAGGTGATGGAGGCCCGGCTCATCCGGGCGGCCGAGCTCAACGGGGAGCTGGACGACGATGACGCAGGTGCCGTGATGTCCCCGTGCCCCCCGTCGCCGCCCCACGTGCCGTCCCCAGCCCTGACCCCGCGGCTGCGGCGCAGGCGGCGAGTGGCGGCTGAAATACGAGCGGGCCGTGCGGGAGATCGACTTCACCAAGAAGCGGCTGCAGCAGGAGCTGGAGGACAAGCTGGAGCTGGAGCAGCAGGGCAAGCGGCAGCTGGAGAGGAGGGTGAGGGCGGCTCGGGGCGGCGGCGCGCGGGGCGCCCGGCCGCGCCGCGGGGCACTCACCGCCCTGCCCGCAGCTCGCCGACCTGCAAGCCGACAGCGAGGAGAGCCAGCGGGCCCTGCAGCAGCTCAAGAAGAAGTGCCAGCGCCTGGCGTCGGAGCTGCAGGACACCAAGCTGCACCTCGAGGGCCAGCAGGGCCGCAACCATGACCTGGAGAAGAAGCAACGGAGGTGGGAGCCGGCACGGCGCGGGCAGAGCCAGCTGGACCCCTGTAGCCCGCTTTGTAGGGGGGGCGTTGGGCCGTTTCAGCAGGGATTTGGGCCCCCCGTGTCACCAAGGGGGCTCACACGACACCATCTCCAACCCCACACGGTTCCCCTTGCCCAGCCCGCTGCAGGCCGAGGGGGACACGCGGGGCTGGGGACTGTCTCCGCATGCACAGGGACCCTCCCGGGGCTCGGGGGCGGGCAGGGGGCCGCAGGGCGGGCTGCGTGCGGCGGAGCCGCTGCCCTCCACGCGCCGCGGTGCTCGCTCGCTCCCGGCCCCAAAGTTTGCTAACGTTATTAAGCAGCGGGGACGCTTTCATCTCATTATGGTAATGATCACACACACAAATACAGCGCGAGAATCCAATCTAATTAATTTCAATTTCCGTGGATTGGAGTCGGTGCTAATGCAGCTGTTTATTACCCAGCGCGAGGAAAAATGGGGATTAGCTGCCGGGGTGTTTAAGGCAGGTCACAAACTCCAGCGCAGGGTTATTTTCCAAGCCCCAAAGGCAGGAATTTTGGAGCAGAGCTGCCTGATCCTACCCTGGGGACCCTGGCCGAGGCCACCCCTGCTGCTCACCAGCTCTGGGGCATGTGCTGAGTGCCGCAGCTCCTGTCCCTGCGTGGCTGCGGGATGCTCTGCGCCTGCATCCCTCTTTGCACCACGGTGTCCTGCCCTGCACCGCATCCTGCTGGGACACCCGTGCGGAGCCCAGCCCTGCCACGAGCGTTGGTGCCGCCGAGGCCACCGGCGCTGGCGCCGCGAGGACCGCGCTCTTGATTAGCTATTCAGCAGAGGCGGCCGGAGGAGTTTCTCCGAGCGGCTCCCCGCGCGCAGCCGCTGCGCTGCAAATGAGAGGCTTCCCAATAGAGCATCTGCGAGGGGCTGCCAGCTGCGAGGCCGGCTGCGGAGGCGGCTGCGGCGGGCAGCGAGGCGGCCGGCCGGGCGTCCCCGCACGGCACGGCGCGGCGGGCACCGCGGCACGGGGCGCGCGCAGTGCCAGCCGGGTGCTCTCTCCCGGGCAGGTTCGACGGCGAGCTCTCGCAGGCCCACGAGGAAACGCAGCGGGAGCGGCTGCAGCGCGAGAAGCTGAGCCGCGAGAAGGACGTGCTGGTGGCCGAGGCCTTCGGCCTCAAGCAGCTGCTGGAGGTGAGCGATCCAGGGGCACTGCCACCCCTGCGGTGCGCCGCATCCCCCCCGGCCCTGGCTCACCGTTGTCCCCGTTTCCCGCAGGATAGGGACGTGGACATCACCAGCCTGACGCAGAAGGTGGAGGCACTGGAGGCCGAGCTGCAGGACATCTCGTCGCAGGAGTCCAAGGACGAGGCCTCTCTGGCCAAGGTGAAGAAGCAGCTGCGGGACCTGGAGGCCAAGGTCAAGGACCAGGAGGAGGAACTGGACGAGCAGGCGGGCACCATCCAGATGCTGGAGCAGGTACTGGCAGCCCCGGCCCGCCCTGGTTTCAGGGCGGGGTGGTTTCGTGCAGGGCTGTTATTACCTGGGCCGGGCTTAGCGCGGGAAGCCGAAGCTGCCGCTGCCAGTCCGGCTTTTGTCCCCGCGCTGCCCGCGTGCCATGGCGCGGGAGGTGGCCTCGGAGCGCGCGGCCAGGCTGGCCTCCGAGCGGGGCGCTCTGCACGTAGGTGCAAAGCGGGGAGAGGCAGCGGGTGGCCCGTGCGGGGCTGTCGCCCACCGCGACGCTGTCCCCCATGTCCCCTCGCAGGCCAAGCTGCGGCTGGAGATGGAGATGGAGCGGCTGCGGCAGACGCACGCCAAGGAGGTGGAGAGCCGTGACGAAGAGGTGGAGGAGATTCGGCAGTCGTGCCAGAAGAAGGTAGAGCTTTGCTGCAGCCTCGCTGCGCCCGCGCGGGGTCCCGGCACTGCGGGGCTCCCGGTGGTGTGGGGGGCCCCGGGGGCGCCGAGGTCCTGGCACTGCCTCCCCATTGCCCGGCGCGGCAATGCCGGCTGGGCACCGTCATGCGGCATTCCCAGCTTCCCACGCGGACACTGCCTGGCTTGGGCTGGCCCGGCAGGTCGGACCGGTCCCTCTCGCGTTGGGACAGCATCCTGCTGGGCTCTGCAGCTTTTAATTGCCCAACTGGGCGTTTTTTGCACCCAAGCAGTGAGTTCATCCGCTGTCCCAAACCTGGGTCATGGGGAAGCGGGACGCATGGGGCGGGATCTCAGTCCTTCTCCTGCTGCCCAGCGGGGCTGCGATCCTTGGGTGCCCCCGGGTGCTGTGGCTGCAACCAGACCCTCACTGCGATGTTTGCTCCCAGCTGAAGCAGATGGAAGTGCAGCTGGAGGAGGAGTACGAAGACAAGCAGAAGGTGCTGAGGGAGAAGCGGGAGCTGGAGAGCAAGTTATCCGCTGTCAGCGACCAGGTAGGGGCCACGCGCCGGCATCCCCCCTGCCGACACCTCGCTCCGTGGGCGCTGGGGTGCCGAGCGGGAGCGTGCAGGGCACCTGGCACGGCCTCCCTCGCCCCAGGTCAACCAGCGGGACTTTGAGACGGAGAAGCGGCTGCGCAGGGACCTGAAGAGGACCAAGGCGCTGCTGGCCGACGCGCAGATCATGCTGGACCACCTGAAGAACAACGCGCCCAGCAAGAGGGAGATCGCGCAGCTCAAGAACCAGGTGCGGGTCCAGCCCTGGTGCCCTCGGCCACACGCAGCCCTGTGTCCCCACCATGGTCCCACACTGTCCTGCAGCCCCTCGCTGCAAATCCTGCCGCCCTCCTGCTGCTCTGGGCTGAGCTTGGGCCTTGCCACCTGCCAGCCCGAGCTGCTGTGGTGCCAGGAATGTTCCCTGCGCCCCCGCGGTGCTCTCGGGACAGAGCTGGGCACTGACCCTGCTCCCTGCAGCTCGAGGAGTCCGAGTTCACCTGCGCGGCCGCCGTCAAAGCCCGCAAGTCCATGGAGGTGGAGATCGAAGATCTCCACTTGCAGATTGACGATCTCTCCAAGGCCAAGGCAGCGGTAAGCCAGCTCGCTACGGGCACGTGCCCACTCGCCCTGGCCAGCGCTGCACGTGATGAGCCCAGGCCATTTGGGGCAATATGGGGGGGTTCTTGCTTGGGTGTCTCGGTGGGGACCCCTGGGAGAGCAGGATGCTCAGTGGGGCTTGGCCAGCAACGTCGGGGCACTGTGGGGATGCGGCGCGGTGCAATCTGCTCCGCTCTTGCAGCTGGAAGAGCAGTTGAGCCGGCTGCAGCGGGAGAAGAACGAGGTGCAGAGTCGCCTGGAGGAGGACCAGGAGGACATGAACGAGCTGATGAAGAAGCACAAGGCGGCAGTGGCCCAGGTGAGGGGGGATTGCGGCCGTGCGGCAGAGCATCCCGCCCCACGCAGCCTCCGCCAACAGCCCCGGCTTCGCCCCGCAGGCCTCCCGGGACCTGGCGCAGATGAACGACCTTCAGGCGCAGCTGGAGGAGGTCGGCAAAGAGAAGCAGGAGCTGCAGGAGAAGGTGGGCAGCGCTGTGGCCGGACTCGAGCCCGTAACGCGCTCGGACCCCGAGAAGGGCTCGGAGCGGGGCGAGCGCCGCTGCCCGGTGCCCCCGTGCAGCCGCGGTGCCGCGGGCGGCGCTGCGCGGGTGCACTGCTGGTGCCGGCGGCTCACACTGCCCGTCCCCAGCTGCAAGGGCTGCAGAGCCAGCTGGAGTTCCTCGAGCAGTCCATGGTGGACAAGTCGCTGGTGAGCCGGCAGGAGGCCAAGATCCGCGAGCTGGAGACCCGGCTGGAGTTCGAGCGGACGCAAGTCAAGCGGCTGGAGGTGGGCGCCGCTCGGGGCTCCGCGGCACCCACGGCTCCTTATGGGGGGAGGACGTGGCGACACGGCGCTGCCGAGGGCTCCTCCGCATCCATCCCCGTTACTCCATCGCTGCCCCGGGCGCTCGGCACGCGCGGCCCGGCAGCCTCCCGGGAAAGCTCCCCGCCGGCGCTGATAACAATAATCCACCGCCCAGCCCAGCAAAGTGCTGCTATTTCCCTGCATCGACTTAGCGAAATTATAGACTCTCCCGGCCCCGCTAAACGCAGCCTGCTTTATATTCTGCCGCTGCAGTCCTCCGCCGAGGGAGCCGAGCGGCTTAGCTCTCCTCTTAATATTTTCCTAGCTGTTATTTCCCTTCCCTCTCTCTCTGCTGGGGCCATAAATATGCAGCGGCTGCCTCGGCGGCGGCTGGAGAATGGAAGCTATTTTTTCCCTACATTACATGCTGTAATTACTTCACACAAAGTTAAATCTATTTTTCCAATTCACCAAAGCCCCAGCAATTGTTCGGCCCCTTCCTTGGCCCGGGCGGGGGTAGTGTTTCTCCTGGCGACACGTCTCTCCTCCACCTCCTCCTCATCCTTCTCCTTCTCCCGGGCCCCTCATGTAAATTCATGGTGCCGGCATCGCTCCCTGCGTTCCCTCCTGGCCGCGATTCCGGCCCGGCAGGTGAATCCCGACACGGGGGGACGGGATTCGGGGGCACCTGCTGTGGCAGGGACCCGGACGCCTGGGCCCTCTTGGCGCGGCGGGGCGGGTGCCGGGGTCCCCACGGCTCCCCGCTCCGCAGAGCCTGGCCACGCGCCTCAAGGAGAACATGGAGAAGCTGACGGAGGAGCGGGACCAGCGCGCGGCCGCCGAGAGCCGCGAGAAGGAGCAGAACAAGCGGCTGCAGCGGCAGCTCCGCGACGTCAAGGAGGAGATGGGCGAGCTGGCCAAGAAGGAGGCGGAGGCGAGCCGCAAGAAGCACGAGCTGGTGAGGGGCCCTGGCGTCCGGGCGCCGGCGGCTCCCGCATCCATAGGGAGATAAGGGGAGGCTCTCGCGGGGCTCCCCTTGCTCAGCCCGTGTCCCTGCAGGAGATGGACCTGGAGAGCCTGGAAGCCGCCAACCAGAGCCTGCAGTCGGACCTGAAACTGGCCTTCAAGCGCATCGGGGACCTGCAGGCGGCCATCGAGGACGAGATGGAGAGCGACAGCAACGAGGACCTCATCAACAGGTGAGCGCAGGGCAGCCCTCGCGCCGCGGGCACCCGCCCTGGCGCTGCCGCCCGCTCGGCCGGCTCCTGGAGGGCCCTGGGCAGCCGGGGCGCTGCCGAGCGGCGGCTGGAAACAGCCCGGGGAGCCCTGGGGAGGGCAGGAGGGCAGGGATGCCAGGCCCAAAGCCTTCCTCCCCATCCTCCCCTTCCTCCCCATCCTCCCTCTCCTCCCTCCCCGTCCTCTCCTCCCTCCCCATCCTCCCCTTCTGCCCTCCCTCCCCATCCTCCCCTCCTTCCCCATCCTTGCCTTCCTTCCCTTGTTCCAGACCCTCATCTTCTTCCCATCCTCCCCATCCTCCCCAGCTGCCCGCCCACCCGGGGCCATTTCATTTGCTCCCTTTCCCCCTCCATTTAGTCTCTTTCTTTCTTTTTTTTTTTTTTTAAGTTCATTCGATTTCTTTTCTGTTGTGTTTTTTTCTCCCACCTCCCCCGCCTCCCCTTCCCAGTTTGCAGGACATGGTGACAAAATATCAGAAAAGAAAGAATAAACTGTGAGGACCTCCTCTTTGCTCGCTCCCCCCGGCCGCTAACCCTAGCGCCCCGCATGCCCCGCGCTCCCGCGTCCTAACCGCATCCCGCGGGAAGCGGCCGCCGGATCCGCCGGGATCCGGAGCAGTTAATGATCAATGCGGTGACCGAGGGCCAGCGGAGCCCCCTTGTCACGCGCAATTAATGTCCCCCCGCCGCCGCCGCCGCCTCGTGCGCTCCCCCGCCACTCGCATCCCGCTTAACTAATGGCACTCGCGCCTGGACATAAATTGCGTTTGACGTGGAGTTTAATTCCGGCGATTTAAAATCTCGGCTGCCCCTGGAGTTTGTTTATGGGCATCTTTTTTTTCTTTTTTTTTTTTCCTTCATTTTTTAAGGCGGAAAAAAAAAAAGCAGAGCTGGGTATATTGCTAGGGAGGAAGAAAAGGGAGGAAATTCAGCTTGTTGCTTGGGATTTAATAAGCGGGATCCATATGTAGGGACTCTAATAGCTCGTCCCCTGTGCTAGGAATGAGCCCAAGGCCAGGTGGAGAAAAAAACCCGCTTAAAACCATATTATTGCACCCGTTTGCAAGCGGGGAGGAGGCAGGAGCCTGCGCACGGCCGCCTCCCTGGCCAGCACTGGGAGGGAGGGCAAAAATAGCGCTCCGATTCCCTTATAGATACAGCTGTTACTGCGATAACCCTAATGAAAGCAGCGAGCAGCTACGGATTAGCGGAGATTTATGCGAGGATGCTTTTAACGTGGAGAAATGGATTTTGCAATGCATGCGGCACCTCCTTTCTCAAGGCAATCAATATGGTTGCAAAGCGCCCTTATAAATTAGATGTTTTAAGCCAGATAGGGCTTTTTTTTTTTTTTTTTTATGTGCACACGTAAATCAGGGGCTCGCCGTCGCGGCGGGGCCGTAAATCTGCCCGCCGCGCTCGTGCGCCCGCCTTGCCGGAGCCGTTTGCCGCTAAACTCCCGTTTACCCGGGCCCGGCTCTTGCACGCACTCGTTTTGCACGTGACGGCGACCCGTGAAAAGCGAGGCCGCCCCGTTGCCTTCCCGGCTCCGGGGTGTGGGCGAGCGGGAGCTTCCCGGGAGCTTCCCGGGGCGCCACGCTCACCGCGGCCCCGCGCCGCCCGCCTCTCTCCTCCCGCAGCGACGGCGACTCGGACGCCGACTCGGAGCTGGAGGAGCGCGTGGACGGGGTCAAGTCGTGGCTCTCCAAGAGCAAAGGCTCCTCCAAAGCGGTCTCGGACGACGGCAGCCTCAAGGGCAGCAGGTGGGTGCCGCGCTCGGGCACGGGGGCGCGGGGAAGGCATCGCCATGGGGTGCACCGGGGCACGTGCCGCAGCATGGGAGGATGCAGCCTTCCTCCTCCTCCTCCCCGAGCATCTCAGGCTGCAAGCGGGGGCTCCTCGTCCCTGTCATCGCTCCCAGCTTTCCCGCGGAGCGTGGATCTCTTTCCCACAGCCCCGGAGGCTGCCGAGGCCGCAGCTTCCCGGGGGCTCCCTCCCTGCCGCGCCGGGGGCCGAGCCGCGCCGCTCGTCCCTAATTGCCTTAATTAATTCGGCGGCGCCGATGTAAAACATTTTGTTATTGGAGATAATGCCGCCGCTTCTGAAGTCGGGCATCAAGCGCCGCTGCTCCAGGTAGCTGACAAGGAAATAAATTGGAGGCAGCGCTTTAGAGGGGGGAATCAAAGCGGCGGGCGAGAACAAAACCCTAATTTGCATCGCATTTGCCGCGGAGCTGTTTCCCGCTGACGCAAATTGCTCGGCGGGCTGCGCCGCGCGGAGCGGCGCCCGCTCACGCCGCTCTCCCTTGTGCCCCGCGGCGCGGGCGCGCGCAGGGACGGCAAGGACGGCGGCGAGGCCGAGGAGCGGCCGGCGTCGGCCGCCAGCTGCCTCAGCTACCGCAAGCGCGGCGGCCTCAAGGACTCCATCGGCGGGCGCGGGGACGAGCGGACGCTCTTCTCGGCGCTGGGCGAGCGGCCGGCGTCGCCTGAGCGGCC